TTGTCTGGCATATACAGGCTAGTTCTGAGTTGCCACATAAGTGCAGATCATCTGAAAGGTGTATGCTCAATAGATCTGCTCGGATGGAATGGGTTTGACACATAAACTTGTCAGCCATTTATGTACTCCAGGTTCAACATAGCAATTGGCAATTCAATAGAAAATCTGCCCAAGCCGGATGGAAAGTAGCCTGCTGTCTAACACGCTGAAGAGAAACAGGATTTGGAAAAGAAATATTAACCTGAAACCACCACAGAAAGATGAAGATTTGCTTTTTTCCAATACATTAATTTAAATATATTTCTTCCAATTGGAAAGTAAAAAGAACATTAAGACTCTAATATAGAGTGCATAGAAGCAAATTTCTAACCTTTCATGTTGTTCACATCACATTAATGATGATGTTAATAAATACTCATTATGGAAAATAGAAATTGTCAAATAATATTGCTCTAGTTTACAGTATGTTGACCACAGAAAAGTCGTATTAACTGTGTTTCAGCAGGGCCTGAAATTTGTATTGCTGGATAGACTAGGTTTTCTTGAAAAAAAAGTTATAATTTATGGTTGATAAGAAGACCATAAGCATGTGGAAGTATCATAAACATTTAGGAATACTTTGCAATGGCAAATTTATCCCAACTGGGGTTTATTCAAGAAAAAAAAAATCAATTTTTAACACCTTTATCATGCATGATGAAGAAATTGGAAATTTAAAACTACTGGAGGTGATAAGTAACACTTTAGAGTATCTGTCATCAAAAGCAGAAGTTATTCTGCATACACAAAGGGGTTTTTCTATCCCCATCCCTTCCTCATTCTATTGCTTTCTGTGTTTTTTCTCTTTCTCTCTCTTCTTCCCTCCCTCTCCATCTTCATCCCCCAAGTGCCAGCTGTGGATGATGAAATGCATGACCACACAAGCCAAATTCCAACCACTAAATGAAATATATATCTATTTCTAAGAGATAATTGTAACTGATACATACTTAAATATTTATTATTAAAAACAAACTATACTGAATATTTCAAGCTTTATGCATGTTAACAAAAGTTTTCCTATCTACCAGATTCATTGATGAAGAACACAGGACAGACAAAATAGTGCCTCCTAATAGGATATGTCAAAAATAAAGCCAATACAAAACCCTGACATGAGGAGCTTCAAACTGGAAGGGAAAAAAAAAGTCAAAAGCTCTAGCAAAGCAAGTGCTGCATTCTTGGTTGCAAACCTATAAACAAAGTTGCAAAGACGGAAAATAAAGCACAATATACACAACCCCAGTAACAAATAGTTTCTCCTTATCTGCTCCAAAGTATCAGTTGTTGTCAAACATCTTATCCCAGGTTTGTTCTTCCCTTCTCTCTTTATTATGAATTCAGTTTTTCTAGCCTAGCACCAGAGGTGGCTGACAAGACTGTTACCTTAATTTATAAATATATATCATGAGAATCATTCATTGTATGTATAAGTTACCAAATTCACTATCTCTACTGTATTTTTCAGTGCTGCAGGTGTCATATGTGACATGTTAAATAAAGATATACAGAATGCTGCCTTGCACCGATTGCAAACATCAGTGTATTTTGTGGATTTTAAAGGTGCACACTGATCCTACTTTGTGCCAAAAGTACATCATTTCCAATTTCCTTCATTAAGGCTACATCTAAGCAATCTAAATGTTGCTTACTTCACTAATAATCAAGTAAACTGAGATTTTGCTTCTTCAGTTTATTCAGGCGTTGACACCTATACACCACCTGATCTGCTGGGTTTTTTTCTCCTCTTGTGCAACTTTCTTTCTCTAATTTAAAACTTTTACATTGTGAGCAGAGAGCTTTAACTGCTCAACACTAAGATGGTGCTATATTTGGGTGGTTGCATTTTCCAAGTGATTATCCTATCATAAACTACTCTGACAGCATATTTTTTTTGTTAGGAAAGCTTTTAGCTCTTCTGTTTGTATCTACTTAGACTCAAGCAAATAATGGTCTCACTATTACTCTATTAGCCTTCAAAAGGAGCTGGATATATTGCACCTGCATTCTTTGATGCTGTTCTCTAAAAAGTTACCATATCCATTCTCCTGTATTCAACATAAGGCCTGTACCAACTATATTCTACAAATTTAATCTTACATGCAAATATTTCTGCAATTTAAAAACACTACTCTTGGAGTTAAACCAGATATTTTTGTAAATTTGGGGAGACGACATCTGTGCCTCTAATATAACTAGTTCTGTATTGTTGTTCTGTATTGCTTAGAGATGTGTTGCTTCCCAAATAGGCACAAGCAGTAACATGTACTTTGTTTGTGAAACCATTACACTGTAGTTTTCTAAGCACTTGGCAAGTTACTCTTAGTATTATTAACTCTAAAAAGTTACTCGAGTTCATGTCTATAAACTTCTTCCATAAAAACTAAATAATGATGAAATCTATCTGTAGATTCTGTAGATTTAATCATGTCATAAGTTCTTTTAAAGACTCTGGAATTTTTTTTTCCTGTAGAAATAAGATTAGCTATAATGCATGAGTTTATTTGGTACTATCCACTGCTAGGTAAGATTTTCAAGCTTCAATAAAGCAATATAGTCTGCCTCACACTATGGATATGTAATTTCTCACTACTATTTCTCACTATTCTTTGTAATTTCTCCTTTCAAATGTGTGTGTGAACATTATTTTAGCAGAGCCTATCCAATCTCTTTCCTCTGAGACTGTGTGGTTAATAAACAGAATACAAAACTTTTATGAATGTTAGTTCTCTGGATAGCATTTTATAGATTCTGCCCTAACACAGGATTAATCTCTTATTCTTAGCTGTTCTGGGAAAGCTCCAGATGCTGTTTTATTGTGACTTCATTTATTTTGTGAAAACCTTACTTTATATGTAATGTTAGGTTCTGTTATATTTCCTTTTATGAAGGCCTCATCTTTTTTTCAGATCTTACTTCAACTTCTTTTGCTAAGTTTAATACTGTTTCTACTCTTGTTTTACCTCCTTTGCTGATCTCTGATTCCTGCAGGTGTGTCCTTTATTTGTTTCACCTTGATTCAAGACAATTGTCGGCTCACAGATACCCTTGTAGAACATCATTGTTTCTCTTGACACAGACAATTTGTTATTACTTGGAATATTGCAGATGAGTAAGAGCTCATAATGTCTATGATATGATTCAAAGTTAATGAAGAGATAGTGCATGCATACTGTCTCTTCTCCCCAAATAAGGTAGGAGACAAAGACCAAAAGACAATTTACTTGCTTCCTTGCCTCTTTGCACCCAATACCTCTTCCTCATAACTTTAACTCAAGAAGTCCATTTCTGGCTTTATCATTGCTTTTCATCTGTTGTTTTTTGTTGTGGGGTTTTTTTTGTTTTGGTTTGGTTTGGTTTTTTTTTCTGGTGTTTATGATACTTCTGTGATTACACATAGTCAAAATCACAGGTAAAATAACCTAAGCTCTCTGATTTCTATTACTTTGGCACTTACATGGGCACTTAGATTTCCAAGGCATGTTTCAGATGATTCACAAGTTTGCATGAAGCTTACTAAGGATTTCAAGCTATCACTAAGATTTAATTTTCACCATACTCAACCTAAATGGAAGATAGTTTTCACCCTCAAAATAACAAAAGTTGTATATATATCAGAAAATATGATATGCCAAAAAGAGCAGCAGAACTGTAGTCTTGTCCCTTCTGACACTTACATGTCTACAGAAAATATGCCACAAGAAACCACAATAATTGCTATATAGAATAAAAATAGATTCCTAACAAATAACTGTTAAAAGACAGAATGAACTGAATCATTGTTTCTGCAGGTGTCCGGGTGTCCATTTCCTAGCAAACTACTGAAATTATGAAAATTATAAAGATGTTATTAAAGTTGCAGTAAATACCTAAAACATAAGGGAAACTTATATTTGACACTACTAATAGATATCTCTTTATCCAAGGTATTCCAGTAAAGTTTAGTTCTTAACCTTCCTTACCATGTGACTGATTTACAGTACTGGACACAACTTTCCCTTTACAATGATTTAGTGTATAGTATTAACACACATAAAATCAGTACCAAATGTAAGACATATTTGAGAAAAACATAAAACCTAACCACATCAATCAAAAGGTGATAAATTCTTCTTAAAAATAAAGTTAAAGTAAATATTGGCCTTACAAAGAAGTCAGCAGAATGATCTTCCAATATTAAGTAGGATCATTGTGCAGTACTGACCGAGTTTTTGTGCTACATTGGTTTTTTAATCCCACCTATTCTGAAATCTAAAGCCACTTCCTCAGTTTGTCCTTTAAAAAGGAAGTCAGTGGGAATTCAGCACGTTGATGCTTGTTGAACCCCATCCCATGGATTCTAGCCACCAAACTAACGTCTGTAATCAGCTCCTAATCTTGCAACTAAAGTTTTGCACCTTAGTCAAGAACACCTGATTTGGAAAATATTTACAGGAGTAGAATTGCTCTGCAAAACCATATTTCACAAAGTTAATTCAGTATTACTTTTCTCTGTGGATTGTACATGGCTCTTTCCTCCTCTTTTAAGAATCTCAGTGATTAGCCCAAGCATTATCCCCATTTGCTAATGTAATCCTTGTACTACTAGCAGCTCATTCTCTAGAAAGATCAACATTTTCAAAACATTTTTTTATAATATAAAGTGTTGTGAAAAGTACTTGCTGTTGAACATATGGAAGGCACCATGTAAGAATAACATATCATATGAAAGTGTCCAAATTTTTATAATTTTTATAAAGCAACTATTTTTTTCTGTTTACAAAATTCAATAAAATCCATAAATGTTGATAAAACATGTAATGTTTTATCTGCAATTATGTAATGTTTCCCCTAGGTGGGAAAAAGAGAACAAGAAAAACTGTTAGCAAAGTAGAGAAAGCAATAGTTTATTGGAGCTTTTGTATGCTACTGCGGCAGCTGAGATTAATGAACAAAGAACAAATGGTTGACATATCACCTACCCATGGGAGTTCCAACGCCGTAACCTTTTGAGTCTATCAGGCCTCCAATCTGTGTTAGGTTACAGTTCCGCTGTGTGACAAACTCAATGGTTGTCGACTCCATTAGAAATGCATAATCAGAGGTAAGCACACGCTGGATACCTTCTTCATTACTTTTGACAAGTACTGACTGCCTCCTGCTACTCATGAAGGCCCACATCTTGTCATAAGTGGAGATTTTGGATTTCTGAAAGACAAATATTAGATGCAACATGAATAAGAATAATATGCTTATAAGAGTGAAAGCAGATTCTCAGTTTGTACATTGCTCTCTTATCGTATTTTACTACATGTCAGGTTTTACCAAGGCATTCTCCTAATTCTAAGGCTGTCTGTACCTTTCAACTCATCTGTATCTCGCATCTCATCTGTGTAAAAAAAAAAGAGCTGGAGAGATTCTCAAGAAAATATGCAATTTCTGTTGTTTATCTGAGTTTTATTCTACATATGTTTTTATGTAGGATGAAGGCCTACAGATATTTGAAGTCAGTGGGAACTATTAAGTATTTCACTGTCGCCAAGTTCATAACAACATTTGTGACTGTTATAGGAGAATCTGTGGATTCTGACACATTTGAAATTTTCACGCTTATTTCAATCACTCAGCCACTCCTGAGCAATTCTGAAAACCTAGTGAACAGTGTGGCAACCTGAGGTAATCAAAGCACTTACAGAAGGCAGTATATGGAGAAAAGGTAGAGGGCAGCAAACATTTTATTCACGGTATATTACAAAAATACTTGGAGAAAGATTTTAGGTAAGAAATATATCACAGTCTGGTCATACAAATACTAGTTTGCCATTCAGAAATTGACTACTCAAAGTCCTAAAAATGAATATACATTTTCTGCTTTAATATTCCCAGAATGCATTACTGTTGCGATAGGAAGACAGAGACAGTAGTTTGGGACAAAGTGATGCCGTGCAACTATAGAGAATCATAAAGGAGTTGCTTCCTTTATTTCACCTCAGCTTCTTTAAAAGAATATATTACCTTCCCTCATATTTGTAAAACACTGTGCTTAAGAGGTCATAACCACCAGATAAATTGAAGGTATTAGAAGTACTGAACATTCTATATTACATTTGCTCCATCTGTTTGATAATATTTCAAACTCAAGATGCATCAGAAAATGTTCAGTAATGTTAAGTCTTGCCTAGTAAATAAAATGTAGAAATACAGCATGAAAATTAGTTTAATCAGACTTTTTAAGGAGTCTTTCATCTTTTAATGTCAGCCTTAAAAGTAACTGAGCTGTCAGCTCTGGTGAAGATACTAAACAAAGATTGACACTACAGACTTTCTGAAGTTCAGCTGAGTGGCAGCCATAAATTCTGCCCGAGAGGAGAATTAGCAGTGTATGTGGAATAAAAAGAACAATTGTTTAGAAAAAAAATGACTTTGTCCCCCTGCTGAGATACAATCCAAGAGTTATTTCACTCTGCCTGGGGACTTAGCAAATCAAACATTTGAACTAACTCTAGTGTCAATGCTAACAAAACTGAAGATTTTTAGGACTCTGCATGTTACTGTATTGAAGATAGTCTGTGGCTGATTGCAAAAGATTTTAGTAACAATGAAAGGGGAGACTATTTATTGTCCAAATAAACTGTAAACACATAGAATAGAGAGCACCAAACAGATATGGTCTCTCCTCATAGGGTTTGGTTTGAAAAATCAAGTACTTCTTGCAAGCATTTAATATTGCACTGAAGAACAATGTACTTCAACAAAGCACATCAGCTCTGTAGGAATTTAAATTACTATGCAATACAGAAAGGATGGAAAATAAATGTTTTTCAATATTTGTAAAATTTTACTAAGAACCTTCATTTAATTCTTTTAACTTACAATCTTCACCCCAGTATACAAAACAAATATTTTTGTCACTATAAATAATTTAGGCAATATAAAAAATTGGCAGAGAAAACAATTTTAGTAAACTGTTAGATATACATTGTTGATGCATGTTAAGAAAAAATTGAAAAATTTAAGTTAGCAGTAAGAAAATCAAGAAAGAATGAACTGTAATAGGTATGCATTTCTAGATTTCTGTTGAAAAAAATAAATAAATTCCAGGATGAAAACACGTTAGCAAGGGGAATGGTTCTCTATTGAAGAAAAAATGAGAAGCATGGGGAAAATTACAATACCTTCTAAAGGACAAAGAATTCATATTACAATGACTGATTTAATCAGCTAGGAGGAGGCCACAACTGCTGTTGAAAAGGAAGCAACAAAAGCCACCACCAACACTATCCAACTTTATAAACAGTTTGGAAAATGGTATTGAAAGCACCCTCACCAAGTTTTTGGATGACACCAAACAGGGAAGAGGTAGATACACTGTAAGAAAGAGCTACCACGCAGAGAGACCTCAAGAGGCTGGAAAATTAGCATAACAGGATTGCATGAGGTTTAATAAAAATAAGTGCAAAGTCTATCAAGGAAGAAAGTATCCCAAGAATCCATACTGGCTAGGAATTGACTGGCAGGAGTGTATCTTGGCTGAAAAGGACTTATGGATCCAAGAAAACAGCAAGCTGAACAGAAGTGATCAGCCCATGCTTGCAGCAGGAAAGTAAACTGCAGGCTGTATCAGCAAGACCATAGCCAACAGAACAAGAGGTGTGATTAATCCACAATATTTGGCATTTGTCAAGCCACACCAGGAACACTGTGTCCAGTTTTGGTCCTCCAAGTTCCAGAGAGATGTTAAAATTGGAGTGTGTCCAACAGGGTGATCAGAGGGTGGGAGATCTTAACAAAGAAGGATTGATGGAAGTTAACATTACCATTGTGAACTTATGTAGTTTATGCATCAAGCCAAAGACAAGCCCCTTATTATCCAGGGAAATGTGTGGGGTTTTGTCTTTTTTACCATTTAGTCCTTTGAAATTCAAGTAGGCTCATACCAATTGTTTCATTGATGACCCCTTGGAAATCCTGAAGACCAGTATGGAAATCCAAGCTGAACTGTTCATATGATACTTTTATTTTATTCACTCCTTATTCATTTTCATAAGTTTGACATTTTGTTTTAACATGACCTAAATCTACATAGCTCTGAAATAAGCTAGAAAATGCATTTCTGATGTTCTTAAAATGTCAAAAGCACTAATGTATCTCAAGATTTTTTTCTAAACATAAGAAGGCTAGATGTCAAATTTAGGTGAAGCAAACATTATAGACAATCCTCTTATAGCTCATAGCTATTCTAATACATCTAGGGTATGTCTCCAGTATTTCAGGCCACAGAGGATTAGTAACATTCATGGAGCGATAAACAAAATTAATTCTATAGATTTAAAATCATAGTATGACAAGCTTGAAGCTGAGAAAACAAACCAATGGCCTAAAGTAAAGAATATTTTAGGAATTCTTTAATTGTCCTCAAGCATTATAAGTACAGGAAAATTCAAAGATATGGCTGTCGGAAAGAATTTGAACACTTGCAGAAGTGAAAAGAAATTGTAAATAAACATAAATATCCTGCTCATTTTCTTGAACCATCACCAAATGGAAATATGTAAAGGCTGATTCCTACTATTCAAATACGTATCAATGATCAATGTGTTTGCTCCATTGTACATTATTTGTACTTCTTGTTTCTGTAATTTATATGTCTATACACTGATCCACCTCTCAGTTCTTCATATGAATCTGATTTCTTCGGAATAGGTACTGTTTTCTCCAAACTTCTCAATGTTTCTGAAGTGGACAATGATGGGATTCTGATCCATTACTGAGACTTTTGAGCTAAACAGCTATATATGCAAATAATGACAAGTCTCAGAATCAGCTACAGGAATCAGAATGGAAGATATCAGATCTTACTAATTTTTAAGCATTACACAGTGTCACTACATGTCCGGTTTCCAGATGTTTTGTTTTAAATAATCCATTTAAGTTTGTTTTAATGACTGAAAAACCACCTAGTTTCTTGTAAGCCTTAACTGATTGTACAGTCCAAAAGTAAGTGCTGCTTTTTGAGGCAGCAGAAGCAGTACATTTACCAATATGTGAGCACATTATGTGTAAAACGCAATTTGGTCTTAATTGCATACCTGTGTCTAATGCCTCCATGATATAATATGATGCTATAGACATTCCAAACTCTGCATTCACTTACGTTCACTGCACGGTTTTGAATCATTGCTATGGGGTAAGGCATAGCTTTTACAGAGCACTATGCTAATCAACAGCAACTTAAGTATACTGAAAATATTATACATTCCTCCACCTGTGGTGGACTGCAGACCAGATTTAAATCAGCTTAACTGTCACCTGACAGACAGACTATGTTGAGACAAATGAACTTCTCAGTATCATCTGATTTTCTGACCAGATTAGCAACGAGTTATAAAAATTACCTTTGTACTGCATTTTCTTTATTGTCTCCCAGAACTGTGAGACTGGCTTTTTCCCTGTCATCAAAGGAAAGTGAAAAAGACACTCTCCATTTTATCAGACTGGTCTCATTGACTCTGACCTCAGGGCATTTATTTTCTTCTATTTTTTTTTTCTTTTTTCCCCTATTTTTTCAGAACTGCTGAGGCCTGAAAACCCCTAAGTGAACCAGCCGATTTAGATTTTGTTGCGTCAGCATAAAAACAATAAAACCAATGCATACAGCATTCTCTCCTCCATAACGGCAGTTTTCATGGTCCATAGAGCACAAATGAAAAAAGGTAGGAAAGGTGTTTCTGCCAAGAATAGAGCTACAAGGAATGAAAAATGCAGTGCTCAGAGAAAGACATTTTTACTCTTACCCCCATTGTGCTGACATTTTGTTTTAAAAACCAAAGATTTTGAACAGATGTTAAATATTTAAAGTAATTTATGGTTAAAAAACCCAAACTCTAATGCTATTGAAATGTGTTTTCACTAACAGCTTTGACCTGGAAATAACTAAGTATTTTATAGATCCAAAAACATTAATGGACTTCAGAAAACTTCTTTGCCTTTTATACCACAATTATTTATAGTCCTCTACTGAATTATAACTAATGTCACAATGGTTGTTATAAAATGTGGAAGATGATATGTGTGATATTTCTCACACTTCTGTAGGTTTTTTCCTTTGTACATAGGAATAAGACATTAAGGAAATTTAATCTGTTTTTAAAGCAGATCCTGTATCCTGCATGTTCTGTAAAGATAAACCCACTTCTGCTCACTCTGCG